ATGGTTATATGTAAAAGAAACTTGCCAAGTTTATTCCATACCTTGAACCCAAGAAGTCTGGAATATTTACATCATGATCCAATTTCTTGAATGTCTTCTTTAGTACCTATAAATTTATAAAAAAAAAAAAAAACATTAATACAAACAACTTTTTTACCCAATTGAATACAATCTTATGACAAAATTGCATATTTCTCCCTTAAGATATCCAATTCTTAATGTAAATAATTGTTTTCCATTTAATAGGAAACCCAAATTCTTCATTTAAACTCAATAAAAGAGCTAAATAATTGTTTTCCATATAGTAACTAAATATATATATATATATATATATATATATACATGATTCTTATATAAATATATTCATTATTCCTTTTATACTATTTAACAACAATAATCTAAATTCAAAAAAATATAATTGAACTCAGGTCAGCCACATCAATCCTTTTTCTCCATTGTGTCATGTTCAAAGTCAAATTCTCGTTTAAATCTAATAAAGAAATATCATTTATAATATTTTTTCTTATATAAATATTTTCATTATTCCTTTTATACTATTTAACAACAATAATCTAAATTCAAAAAAATATAATTGAACTCAGGTCAGCCACATCAATCCTTTTTCTCCATTGTGTCATGTTCAAAGTCAAATTCTCGTTTAAATCTAATAAAGAAATATCATTTATAATATTTTATAACTAAATATTTTTAAATCTAGCTCTATATTTCTTAATATAAGTCAAATCTAATACATATATTTTCCTAATCAGGTCATCAGAAAGCCACCGTTTTATGTGACCAAACCATTTAATAAGACGACTCTCTCTAATCTCATCTTCCACTGGCGCTACTCCAACATTTTCACATATATGCCCATTTCATATCCTATCTCTAAGGGTAAAGCCAAATCTACCTGAGCATCCTCATCTCTGCAACACTTAGCTTACTATTATGCTTCTCTTTTAATGGCCAATATTCAGCACTATAAAGCATTGCATGTCTCAACACCATCTTATAGAATTTTTCCTTAAATTTGAGGGGAAATTAAATTTTAATTTGACTCAAAATTTAATATATTATGCTAGCTAATTTGTTTGAAGCCAAATATATATTGAAAACAAATTGTTTGAAAAACATGTATATAGTTTTTTAGTTTGTGAACTACAACGAAATTTTTACTGTATCATTTCCTTAATTAAAAATAATCACCAACAAAATAACCTCGTAACGAAGATATCATGCATTTGTAGCACAGTACATTCATTACACGTAAAAAAAAAAAATTCATGATAGCTCTACACCGAATCAACAAATATCAATATATAAATATCAAGAATGACAAAAAAAAAAAAAAAAGAATAAGTTTGCATGCTAGAAATTTGTTCATTTTTATTAATTTAATTCACAAAATTTTAACTTATAAATAAATAATTCGAAGTATAGGGCAGATCGAGCTACCAAAAATGGTGGTAGATAAATGTGAACAGGCTAAATCCTAAAGACAATCTATTGGCATTTCAAATGGCGATCATACCTCCAAAATTCTGAGTCCAAAAATTCACCATACCAAAAATCTTTCTCATTTATGTACGAACATAAACCATTCATAAATTTCTAGATGGGAGCATTCCAATCATTTTCTCCAAAATATCCATTCTTAAAATTGAAGTGGAAGAGATAAATACCAAGATAAAAAAATCTTTCACAAAATATAATTGTTGAAATAAAAAATAGGTTTACCTATGAAATTATTTGTAAATTCGAAAACAAAATATGTTTTCCAAATATAAATAGCATAATGATCCACAACTAGACTTTAGAAGCCTCTTATTCAGGTCACTTGAAAAGCACAAGCTTACTGAGTGCCAGTGAACATGATATTTGACAATTAAATATATACAAGTTCAAATATTGTACCTGCGACGTTAACAAAACATTGCTTCTATGCTTCCGTGCGTAGTCGTTATGATCCACATCGCCAAGCAAGCCTGAATGATCATGAAAGAAACCTAACAAGACCATCCCAATGAGAGCTGCTATATTCGATGCCCAACTCAATAGCATGTGAAAAAATAGGAGCAGAAATTACATTGTCGGTTACTCTGCTGAGTCTTCGAGCATATCCATTATTATTCTTCCATAGGTTGCTGCAGCATTTAAGAAATAACTTTGCATTTAGAAAATATTTTTTTAATATATTTCAATTAAATTTTTTTGCTTCACTTTATTTCTAATCATATTTAGTGGATTTATCAGGATTTGTTCGTAGGTTTGTTCTAAATTGAAGATCAATAAAGTAAAATTAAAGTTTTATGGTACATTAAAAAACGTTATGATTTCATTTGAAGTAATCGCATGGTTACTAAATGATGGAAAACAAGGACAAGATTTATAATTATGTATTATGCCGAATTGCTTTGGTTTGGCTTATTTCAATTCAACAAAATTTTGAATCTAAATCACGCCAAATAAATCGGTTTAGATAAAATGTCAAACCACAAGCAACACAAAATAAATCAATCGATTGAGTTGGTTTGGTTTGGATTTTCCATTTAGTCCCTTCTTTTGCAGACCTATATTCTTCCATATTGAAATACTCAAATTCGTATATATGGTGATATGAAATGAACTATGGATGTTTGAATTGCTTTATAACATTGAGCTCAACAGACAAGTTAAAAGAGATATTATCCCATTTACCTGGAAGCATTGATAGATGTTAGATGATGCATTGATATGGCCAGTGCTGAAATATGCCATAGCATTTTCTTCGATCTTTTCTAAGCTAAAAATGATGAATATTCACATTTACATTTTTGAATGATTCAAAAAACAAGATGATCATTTGTGGAGATTAAAACGTTTATTATATTTATACCTGTAGACATAATTTACCATGATTCCAGCACTTTGTTTAATGCCTCTCTCAGATGTATCTGCCATCCAGTTTATTCTTTCAATTCTCTGAATGGTATGCAATAATAAAACCATAAGAACTTATATATGCTAGAAGCGTGTAGATAGAGAAATAGAGATCATTTTAGCTGCAAACAAAGCCCACATATAATTAAATAAGTAAAATATAATAAGCAAGGAAGAATGAGATTTTCTTACGAAGAAATACTAAAAGAGAAAAACCATAAAATCTAACCTTGTAGATATACATAGTTACCACTACCAGTAGGTACGATTTACAAAAGTTTGCACTTCCCGAACTCGGAGAAAGCATCAATACAAAGCAAGTGAACGTAAAATATTGTTAGCATCCAAGTTCGCAATTCGATAAAGTTGAGTAGCACCACAATCATTCTCTGGGAGGAAAAGACAACATAGCTTAAAGGTTATAGATGAAGTAGAGTTAAAGCTCGGGGAGGCATCTAAGGACTGTTGGAATGGTCCTCCAAGATGGGAAGGCAGCACAAGATTAGGGTAGCAAATGTTAAAGGCAAGGAGCAGTTGAGGATGATCGGAGCTATCCTACTCATAGAGTTGAAGGCGGCACTACATTGAGATGGCATCCATGGCAGCATTGAAAGGTCAGGGAATCTATCAAGAATGGCCAAAACAATCCTCCTAGAGATGAATGTGCCTTGACCTTAGGGCTACAAACAAAACGGAACCGAAAGTTCTACAAGCCATTGAGGATGGTTGAGAAGGTCCTCATGGAGGTGACATAACTATGCAACGACAAATGAGACAACACTGAAAGGTCAAAAAGGCCAAAAAGGATAATTAAGTTGATCCTCCTAGAGGTGAAGGCAGCACGACCTTTGTCAAGGGAGAACTTTAGGTGGAGATCAACTCTGTATAGTTCTCCAATGTCTCAGACTTTTGGAATGTACAAAGTAAACAAATTGGGCTATTATTTTTTGAGAGGAATATTCTAGTCCTTAACCAGAATGTGTTGAAATATTAATAGCACTTGTCCATAATGAAACGTGCAAATCTCACCCTGCCAAGATAAAAAAAAAAAATTAGCTTGTAGGTCCTTCATCCAATTGGACCGACCTACTCTAGCAGAGGCCATCACCAACAATGCCTCTGATCGCCAAACAGATTCTAGGATAGTGGATTTTGATAGCACAAGTCACAGATGCAATAGATTGGAATTCCAATGGTCAGATTGACAAAAATAACTTTGAAAAAATTCATCTCAAAATATCTTCTAAAATGAAGTTCGCCCAGGAAAAATAATAGGTGCGGTCCTCACTCTCACAAGCTTAAGGCCCCCCTTTCTATGAGGTAAATAAGTAGATTGGATTTTAAATTTAACCAGATTTTTTCGTGTCAAGGTTTATTTAGAGCTTGATTCTACTTCTTATGAATGCAAACCCTCATGGTTAATTACCCTTCTAACGCGTAGAAGAGCACTCTCAATTAAGGATGAAATTATATTTAGTCTGTACAAGGAGTGTGAAAATGTGCAACAGTATTTTATTCTTAGTTATGATGGATGAAGGTACACTCGATCAAGATCCCATGATTTCGTCGTCCTCAGTATATCGTGGGTTTAAGTCTACCAACACTAGAGACCATTGATAGTATTGTCCAGGGAATCTAATTAGCAGTCATGGGTTGCCTCCTCTAAGGGATCCCAAGTAGTCTGAGGTGGATATATATACATATATTAGTTATTTAATTTGGGTAGAGACTTATGGCTTCATTTAGAAGTTGCTCATAGTTTAGGTTTGGGTTGGGTCTTATAGCCCCGTTTAGGAGTTGCCCGCATAATTGGATTTGGGTAGAAGCTTATGATTTTCATTTGAAAGTAGCCCTAATGATGGGTCTTACGACCTCTATTAGAGGTGGCCCCAATAGTGGCTCTTACAACTTAGCCTTACAGACTAAGATCTCCATGAATTTTAGATGTTTAGATAGGTATTAAGGCTTCTAGATTTAGAAGTTACGTGACAACTGGTCTTACGATCTAACCTTATAAGCTAAGTGGCATGTATGGTGGGTCTTACAACCTAGCCCTATAGACAAGGATGCCTAGAAAGGGATCTAGGGTTATGCTATTACCTAGATATTTCACTTAGAAGTCGGACTTACAGCTTCTATTAGAAGTTGTCGAATGAATTTAGGATGTTATTACTTCAATTAATATGTATATATGTATATATATATATATATATATATATATACATATAATGAAATAATTGCCGATAGGCTTTACTCCTCAAATTAGAAGTAATCATAAATTTCAGATCAGTAAAGATGTAGCTTTACACAGTTCTCTGCCTCGACACCCATTTTAGTGCTTTCGTAGCAGTGTTCGTAGCTTTTTTATTTCAGTAGTAGCATTACTTGCTAGTGTTTACTTTCTATCATCAGTTTCGCTCTATTTAGCTGTAACTTTACATTATCAATTATATTTAATACACTGTACTAATGCTACATTTGCTTGCGTACAGGTAAGCGGTACTTGCAGTAGCTTGGAGAGCTTGTTCTAAGTTGGTTTTAGTGTTTTGAGTTATTTAGTAGTTTGTACTTAGGTTGCATAGTAGAAAATAATTTATTTCCTGCATTGTCTTTTATTTTGTTTTCATTTCATTAATTAATTAGATTAATTAAATAATTTTAATTTTAATTAAAGTTAAATTTTAAATTGATCAGCTCTCTAATTAAAATATATTTTAAAATTATTCAAATATTTAAATTGACTGCTCAATTAATTTGATTTAAATAATTTATTGATCAGTTTGATTAGTTTGAATTTTAAGTGTATTTTAAAATTTTATATATTAAATTTGATTTGCCCAATTAGATTAACTAATTAACAAATTTCAATTTAGATTAAAATTTTAATTTAATCAAAGTTATGGTTTCAATTACATAAGTTCTAATTTTATTTTAAAATTAGTTGTTCAATTTTAATGTATCAATTTAAATAATTTAATTGCTTAATTATTTAAATATAAATAAAATATTTGAGTATTATTTAAATAGGTTAAAAGAGTGAATGGCAAATGATTTAATTAACTAAGTTTAATTTTGCTTTAATTAATAAACCAAACCGAACTTGAATATTCAATTATGTTCTAAGTTAAGTTAGTTCGAAAAGATAATCAACGACTGAGGGTTTCGGAATGTTGTTTGGTCCCGAAAATTATGTTTTGAAGCTCCAATTGCTAATTACAACATCTAATTTTGTTGAAATTGTGAGCATTTGATTTCTCTATTGTTATTATTATTATTATTATTATTATTATATAAATATTTATGTATGTATCATCATTATTTAAATGGTAATAGATAATATTATTAGTAATTACAAGAGTAACTACTATTAATGTTACTAGAATAACCTTCTTCTCCCCTTTATTCACTGTTTCAAGAAAGCAAAATTACAGGCGCAGACTGGATCGGGCAAGCAGGCACAGGCGCAAGTGTTCGTTTGAATTCAGGAGGATCAGGCAATTTTGATCCCATTCATAGGAGAAGAGTAGGTGACTTGATCTCGTGACGGACCTAGGGTCGAGATGGTGCTCGCGTTCTGGCTTGCATGTGGAGCTCGCCGGTGTTGAGCCAATTACAGCAGACGAACAAGGAGAATCAGAGACCGGCTAGGTCTTGTTTGCGGGCATAGATTCGGAATCAAGCAGGTAAGAAGACCAGTTGAATATCTCCTCCATTTATGGAAGCCAATTTTTTTAGAAGGATAGCATCTACAGGAGGGAAATGGTGAGATTAAGCTTAAGGAGGGCCTGAAGGCTTTCAGCAAAAATTCCAGAAGGTCAGCTATAGATGGTTAGCAAGGAATAGAGGGAAAAAAGAAGACGAGAAATGACCAAGAACTTTTGGGAGGAAGATAGAATTTGGAACCTTTATTCAATCCAATCTGATTGCCGATAACAAAGATTCCTAATTCCTTATTCATAAAATTAAGAATACAGATAACTAGATTCAAATTAAACCTTAAATAAATAACAATAGTCGTTAAAAGCTCTTATCCTTAAATAATCAAGAAACTAATCCTAAATTCTAGCCATGTAATGTGGAACTAACTTCCACAATTCAAGAAAGACATTTCATAAAAAACAACGAAATTTCAGTATCCAACTCCTAATGTTTAGTAATGGTTAATTATCACTTATATATGTAGGCAATAAATCCAAATAATTTGCCGCACGATTATTTTTTATGGAACCAAAAACTGTCTAACTTGACTATTATTTGGATTTATTTCTCTCATTTATGATTCTTATTGTCAACAAATAATGCATCAAAATTAGTGTTCAAGTTGAAGAGTGTTGATCTGCGGACTGATTGGTTCATTTTAGACTGGTAGAGGACTTAGAGATCTTTAAAATGTACTAGAAAACTTTCCAGATCAAATAACCTCCACTAATCAAATCAAAAGCAATCACTCAACCAATTATTCAACTAGATTCTATTTATCAATTCTAATTTTATCCCTACTTCATTTATATTGTTAACCTTTCCCAAAAAAATAAAAGCTTACAACTTCTCAAAATTATTGAATATTTTCTCTATCCATTAAACCTATTGCTAATCAACAATCATTATTGTTTTTCTAATTAATATATTTACTTACTCTTTAGCCTAGTTTTATTTATGCACATAATAGTAAGCAATGGCATGCTACCACACGGTGATATGAATAAAACATACCGCGCCATTCTGTAAGTGAAAGTTTGCAACTGCATCTAGAGTTTTTCCACTTTTATTTTTTTCGAGAAGGTACCTAATAATTTCAATTAGAAGGAACGTCAGAAATACACACCATTTAAGAGTAAACATAACAGTAGATTAAATTGAAAAAATTAAAGAAACAAATATAAAGGTCGAACTAACAGCAGTTGCAAATTAAAGAAAGCATCCCTTTGATGTCGTAGATTTCTTCCTTTCTCAGGCGATTAATTAAAAAGAAAGCACTACTAGTTTTATCCATTCTACTGTGCCATAGGCTGTTGATGAGTGTGTACTAGTAGCATTATCTTTAAATACAGGTCATGCTAGTGCGTATGTTATTGTTGCATGCACCAATAAATTTACCGAAAAAAGAGTTAAAACCCCAACAAGACAAATGGCTATCTACGGCTAATAAACATCATCAATTAAAAAACTTCATAAACATCGTCATGAAACAAAAAAGACATCTAAACTGGCCTTTTCCCCTCCACAAAAAATTGATTTTGAACATAAAAATATTAAAATAACATGATGATTCCATGAGGGCATGGATCTCTCCAAATTTAAAATGTTGTATTTTGGTGACTTGGTCTACAGATTTCATGATTATAAATAGCTTCAGTTACATGTACCAGCCAATATGGTAGTACCTGCAAAATTCTTTCTATAATTGATGAATATGCAAGCAGAATAATATTTGCAGATTTGTATATAAACAGCTACGATTTCATGTCATATTCAAGGCCATTGTTCCTTAATTGACCAGGAAGTATCAGAAAGGTAAAATTGCACAATTTAGAGGTCAAGGTAATATGTGTGCAATGCTCTGCCTAGACAGTGGCACGGTACACTCCTTAAGCAGAGAGACAACTTCAACGCTGCAAAGATGCTACAACCCTTTCCTACTTCCTAAGTAATCTAGCCTTAGATGATCGCTCCCGTCAAGGAAAAGAACTTTTATTACCTTTGTCTCCTCGTGCAACAGCCAAAACAACACAGAAAGAGATGAATTTTGAAAAATCTAATTAACGCTTTGCTATGCACATTGTACATTGAAGCAATGCAATCACCTCATACCTTTTCTTTGAAAATGTAAAAAAACGCTATTATGAACTTACTTAAAGTTTCATTCACCCAATTCCGAGCAAAGGAAAAGCCCTCAACATCTACCTATATAACCTAAAGCTCCAACTACCCTGTATATCCGATAGTATAATAAGGGTCACCAGATTGCAGGATGTTAAATATTTCAAATGGCAAGCATTAATCTCTGGAAATGTAACTGCTATAAGTAGAAATTCAAGAGTTCACAAGATCCATATGTGAAAGAACAATGTAATATCTTAATCCAGACCATTTATTAGGGAGAACATGTAAATAAAATGCAATTAAATCTTCAACACCCAGTTTTTATTGTTCTTACAAACCTGATACATAAACGCATTAGAGGGCCTTTAAGTGCACTCAAAAGGCACTCTGACTTGCTCCACTCGCTGTTCGTTGAAGATAATATGTTATATAATATTTCTATGCCACTATTCCCATCAGCAAGAGCCCTGCATAAAGATAGTGTCAATATGACGGTACAACGATGTGAAGCTGCTGCTATTTCAAAGCAGAATATTATCATGAATGAGCATTATCAGATCGACCATTCTAAGGGGGCATGACCATTAGAATTCATGCTTTCTACTTTTTGGAGTAACTAACAGGACATAATAACTACAATTAATCATCTGATATCAAGAGTTAATTATAGAAGCAAAACTGCATTGCCTAAAAACTGCAAGCACAATCATTCACATCCTAGTAATATTTTCATAAATTGCAACATAATTCAAAACATGATTGTGTATTTAATTTCATACCACAACTGATGTGAAACGATCATCCAAAGATGATATACTTGATGAATTTGCACGCTTAATTTTTAGAAAGAACAATTAATTATATATTTATAATGATTTGAACGACAAGATAAAACATTAAAAACGGTAAAGCGAGCTTAGGCTAAATCACATACAAAAGAGTTAAGATCGTAAAACATTCAATGTAATCTAACGACGCGTACATGATTGGCTTTCAACGATGAATCCCTAAACTAACAGTGAGATTAGTCGCTAAAAAAAGATCCTTCACACAACTCTTCTAATTACTAATCTTTAGCGGAGAAGCATTAACATGATCGTCATGAATTTACTAGACCACAATTGAGAAGCACTTCGAAGAGAAAAGAGTCGGGGAAGAGTTTACCCAAAGACAAATGGTGTCAAAGTGTAGTACGTTGGATAGCCCATATATCTGTCGGTGGTCTTCCAAAGTGCTGGACAACAGGATATCTTTGCTGGCATAAGGGGGCAGCAAGCTGTATGCTGAAATCTAAGGATAGCTAAGAAAAACTACCTACAGGAATTCTGGACAGCAAATTCAGCCTTCTAACGGTGCAGGACAGAGCCAAAATCTGAGAGAAATCTCAGGATTCTAGGCTTAGGAGCAAGGGGAATTGAGAGGGAGAGGTGGTCGGGTAAGAGAGGAATCTAGGATTTACTTCCAGAAATAAAAGAAACAGAATTTGGAAGGAATTTACGGTAGTGAGGCCTTGAGGGGAATTTCAGCCAAAGGGAAAAGTCTCAGGTTTTGGAATTATTTCCAAAGAGCTTTTGAGTGAATAAGGGAAGTAATTAGGAGCATTAATTGGCTCTTAATTAGGCAAAGGAAAGAGGAAGAGGGAGCCGGCCTAGGAGAGAGGGAGGGAGAGGGGTTTCATTTCAAATAGGTGGGCCCCAATTAATTAAGTGAATTAATCCCTAAATTTGAATTTAAATTTCAGATTTAAAGCTGCGATTAATTCCTTAATGACGGGAGGAAATTGAGGGGGCATTTAACTCCTAATGCAAATTTGAATTTTGGATTTAAAACTCCCTCCAAGTGACCTCTCCAAATTAGGAAACTAATCAAATGCAATGAGGGAAAATGGAGGGAATGGAGAGAAGGGGTTATTGCGGGCGGGTGGTGGCAAAGGGGACGGCCGGCGGCTGGAGGTCCGACGAATGGAGGTCGGCGGCTGGAGGTCGGCTGCTGGAGGTCGGCGGCTGGAGGCTGGTGGCTGGACGCTGGCAGCTGGCAGTTGGAGGCCGGCGGTGAGTGGAGGTGGCCGGTGGCTTTGGGGCCAAGTGTGCCGGTGGGTGGGTGGGGGAAACAGTAGAGGAGAAGAAAAGATATGGGATATAAAACCAAGAGCTCCACCAAGGGGCTGTTAGATATTGCTTGAAGCCTCTCCTAGGCTTTCTTCACTTGAGAACTCATAAAGAGAACTCTAGAACTCACAAAGAGATCCAAAACCAAAATTTTCATTAACAATAATCATCATCCCTTTCCAAGAGGAAGGGGAAGGCTTAAATAGCCAAATACATGAAGGAAAATAAAAAGACACAATTGCCCCTAGGGCAAACATAAGGCAAAGCCCTCAAAGTGAGGGTAGAAGGAGAAAATTACAAATAAAAAATCAAATACATCAAAATAAATAAACACGATTATAGCCGTTGATCTTCGATGTCCTCATCAACAACTCAAGCAGAATAATATGACGTTAGAAGTATTATGGTATACCTCTATCAACCAAAGAGTACAAAAATGATAAGAAGGTACGCAGACCATAAAGTTTCCTTGATTAGAACCTGCTATTAATAATACAAGGAAATCAGTTTATTTCCTCCATTTTAAAAAAGCGAATATTTTTAATTTATGATAACTAAGGAATTATTTAAAGTTAAATTAAAAGAGACTAAGCTTGAATACTCAAACTTACACCACCACCCTCTTTTTTCTCCTACAAAGAAGCAAGATGAGACACTTGACAAAGCAAATCATGAGTGGGGCATGAAGGCTAAAATTAGACCAATTTCCCTGTGTGGGAGCCAAGCAAGATGAGTATATCCCAATTTCAATCAATTTTTCTTTGAGGAATTATTTGGGATCAATTATGTATAATCAATGGGCTAAATTGGAGAAATGGAATACTCTAGGATTAAACCGATGAGATTAAACTGATGACATATAGATAGTAGGGGACAATTTTAGGATTTATGCTCTCATATTAATTATTAATTAATTTAAAACTTCAAGTCAAATTGATTAAAATGGTAGAAATTTTCAAAATAGATAAATAATTTCTAATTTATATGAAAGAGAGTTTTTTGGGAAAAAAGAATTTATATGATTTAAAGTACAAAGTTTATATTTATAGAGAGATAGAAAATGATCAAAATGATCTCTTGACTCTTTATAAATGATCAAAATAATCCCCAGTATGTAAAAAGATCATTTTGATCCCTCAACTCCTTTAAAAAAAACTAAATTGTCATTGTGCTCATTTTAAATATCTAAGTAGCATGAAAAATAAGAAAAAGTAATTATAAAATAAAAAGTGACTGACTCATGCATCAGCATGGGCTGATCGATTATCTTAAGCTTACAAATATATCATCTAACTTTCTTCTCTCTTTTAAATAAAATTTAACAAACAAAAATAATAATAGTAGTGAATTTCACAAATGATTATTCTTTTTACTCCATACCCATTTTTAACCAATCAATTTCCAACTGGTTTAAATGTCATTTATTCCGTTTAATTCAGTCAATTATACATTTCAGGGATCTAGTGAAATGTTAAACAAATTTGACCACTTTTGATGACTTCAAACAAAAAAAAAAACTAGTTATATATTGATAATGGTCCGAAATGAAAAATATGCATGCATGTAAATAATAGTTGTTTTTTTATTTAATGAGAAAAAAAAAACTCAAGTTTATATATCCAAAAAAGAAAGAAGATAATTGGGAATATGAAGAGGCATTTGCTAGCTAGAAAAAAAAAAATCATAAAACAGAATTAATATGAGCCACATTATACTCCATAGCCTAAACATAAAAAAATAAAATAATATAGTAGAATAGATATTTCTTTTTGTATTATTATCTTTCAACTCCTTACACGCACAAGTTCGCACCCTCCTCGCCGCTTCACCCCCAAAAAGTCAATGATTCCTTGACTTGCACCTCCTCTAGATTACGTGCACAGACTAGCCTCACCCACTCATTTCACCTCCTCACACAAGTTTGCAGGTATGTTTGCACTCCTCGTGAGCTAGCTTCGCTCACTCATAATGCCTTCCCCATGCAAGCCCATAGGCAACTACCCATACACAGGCTATCTTTGTTCGCTCGCAACACCTTCCTCATGCAAGCCCACACGCAAATTCACCCTCCACATGAGTTAGTTTTGTTTGCTCACAGCACCTCCGCACAAAGTCCTCACACAAGTCCAGCACTTGCACAAATTTTGCTCATTCATAGCTACCCCAGCATTAAAGACCACAATCTCAAAGTAATGCCCCTAATCCACTAGTATGCAGCCACAATCATCATTTCTCCCATCATGTTTAGATCTGGTAGGGATAACTGATGTAGAACGGGAGCGGCTTTGCTAGGGAGAGGTGGAGATCCTCCACCCGATGCCTTCGAAGTGTTCGTCGATGGCTTCTACCAAAGTATCTAGGATCCGTTCCAAGTAATCTTCAACGGTGTGGTCAATCTCCAGATTCACGTCGAAGAAGGTGGATCGTAGGATGTCGGTGAAGCCGTCGTCGTCCCAAGTTATGCCGTATTCAGTTTCCGGATCGGCCATCCATGCGAAGTGATGTCGTCTTGACTTTGGAAGAGGTTGGATGACAAGGAGAGACTTCTCTGATGGTGTTGCAGTGAAAATAGTCCAGCGGAAACTGCTGAACAGCAGTTTGGTCTTTGCAAACAGCAACTATTAGGCTTCTTATTGCTGGAGACGTGAGAGTAGGGGTGGGAAATCCTTGGCTGCAGTATTAGTAGGTAGAAAGTTCCATGTGGGAGAAGGTTTGAGAAGGATTGGGTGGAGAAAACCAACGTACAGAGCTTGGGTTAATTCGGCCAGCACAGGATTGTGATGGAGATTTATTTCCCAACGTAAAAGGAGGAGTTTGGAAAGATTTGGGGGGGGGGGATTACAGCCAGGAGGATTTCGGCCAGATTTAGATGAGGGATATGGAATACTTTCCAAATGTGAATATGGGATTAGGAAATAAATCTCTAAGATTTATTATAGGGTGGGACCGGCGGCATGCATGAGTTAGGGGAAGTTAATGGGGCCATTAATGCTTGCTTAATTAATAATTCAAGATTGGAAAGAAATATTATATCCTCTCTTGATTTAAAAGGTTTCCTAAAATAAGATGTATAAATTTAGTAACTATTTGAAATTCAAATTGATTTGAATTAATTCAAATAATAGTTACCAAATATATGAGATCTAATTTAGGATGAAACGAATAGCCTGTGTAGAAGAGGGAGGTTGGATGGCCGGCCGCTAGGGGTTAGAGTCGGCGGCATAAGGGTTCAGGTGGGGCTTGGCCGTGGACTTGGAAGTGAGGAATTGGGATTATGGAGAGCCATTAATGGAGTGTATTATGGTTCCTAGAATTGGGGATTGACTTTAGGAAATATTTATTTAAGATCCTTTTGAAAA